CCCAGTCATATTGTTAGTGCTTATGGTTGTGGACATTTTCAACTTGTTACTCCCCACTATTTCCCCTTTGCCTTCTTCCACCATCTGCTTTCAGCACAAACTCTGTCTAAGGTCTCTTTGAAAGGTTGGTCTACACATAATAAAATGCTATGGCAGCTTTAAAGCGAGTCAATATAACTTTTGAAAGAGGGAAATAACAAGCTTGTTATTATTAGTTCATCATAAATTGAATGAATGGTCATGATCATTAGCCACAACTCGATCTCCGTGTACAGTTGGTTCAGTTTCTGGACCAAGATTCAGATTCAGAGGTTTAAGAGCCAATGTAACCGCTCAGCTGTGTAGTTTTTTGCTTTTTTGTGACTCTCCTGCCCCTACGGGACTATAGGAAGCAATGCAATCTAGTCTTTATCAACTAACAATGTAAACAAACTGATCCCCCGGACTCTGAACGGTTGCTCAAGCTTTATACCGTAACTTTAATATGTGTTGCTTCAAAGACATCACTCAGGGTCATGTTAATGCAGTTTCTTTGCCTGACCTTCTAGTGTAATAAAGTGTTCCAGTTGCCTGAGCGACCATGCTAATTAATTGGCAAACAGCTTTTCCAACAAAGACATCTTTTTTTTTTTTTTTTCAAGGATAGAGAGAAGATCAATAATCCATAATAGCTATATGTCTTAATTATATATTATAATGTGCTGCTACTAACGTGAAATAATAGACAAGGGCCCTTTGTTCTAAGTTGGGTATAAGCTTATAAGTGAAGTGAGAGCAGGCATGTTTCCAAGCTCTAAACTCCACATGACGGCACTAATTTATTATCACTCTGTCCTTTTGAAAAGCAGGGTTGGGCGTTCTTTCAGCTCGACCCTTCATAGCCTTACGTCAGACCGCTGTGAAGCAAGCGACCGTCACTCATTCCCTCAGGCAGCGCAGCGAGGGTCGCTCTACGATGACGTCTTTTAAGCTGCAGGCTGTGTGTCCGTGTCGGATCAGTGTCGCTAATCCAGAGAGACACAGAGAGAGAGACTTGACCTTGGGGCGAAGCGGCATGAAAACAATGCACGCCTGCATTACATTCACTGTCAGTCATAGACACAGGTAGATGCCAGGGTGCTAAAAAAAAAAGCAAACACACCTGTCAAGTGGTTTATCATGAGGCAAAATGAAACTGCAACTTATGTTTCAGGGAAGCATTGCAGTAATCCTTTTGTATTTCTTTTATACATTTTATTTGTCATGCTTGTCTTTGGAGAATACCAGGTTCCATTAATTATGTTTTTATTTCCAACTTGATGAAGACTCAGTCGGTGCTTTAAACCATTATTCTCAACTGCACAAACATTTTAAACATTATTTTTCTCTTTGCTCTGAAAAAGGTTTTCTTGAACGTGAATTTACCCTTAACTAGTTGAGCAGTTAGCCTCCGCAGTCTTTTACCGGGCTTGTTACTATAAATTACATAATCCATAAAGCATGCCGTTAACCGGTCTCATCGGGACAAAAGTCATCCAAATGTTGTCAGTGAGCTCTGTAAATTCTCCAAAGTAACGGAAATATTTGAAATTGCTATAACCAATATTTTTATGTTGACATATGATTAACTGATTACATGTAATGTGAAGGCCGTCCCTTGTAGTGACAAACCCACAGAGAATCATCACACGTCATCTATACAGGGCGTTTTAGCGTCTTTTGGTTTAGCATTAAAATAATGACGTTTTGATTTACTGCTCTCATTTGCGTCTGGTGGTAAAACTTCCCATTCTAGATTTAACCATGTGTGATATGGAGCCGGCAGCCTCCCTGTTACCAGCCCACTTCTGTAACCTTTAGGCCACCATGTTCAACATCATCCAGTGTGATTCTGCCCGCTGTTAGACAGCTCTAAACTCCAAAATGTGTATAAATTTTTATCACAATGCCTGCAAATATCTGTGTAATGGGCTAGGCTGGACACCGTGTCCGTGTCCCCTCGCTGCAGAGCGGCTTTCAAAAGCAGTTTGCTTCCATTTCTGTCTATCCTCTTTGAAGTGTGATGGATGGCCAGCATCCTCGCGTCATCACGAGCTGCACCGGCCTCGTCGCTGCAGCTCACATTAAAGGGTCGTGGATAACCAAAAAAAAACGGTTTGACACATTTCTATATGTGTCATTCCCTTTTGGGATCTAGGTGGTTATATTTAGTTTGGGCTTTTGTCCACTGTGAAATGAAGTCCACGCCGCGTCTGGCCAGGAGATGATAAGCCTTTTTCAAGGGAGGTAATGTGCAGGCTCAGGGGCTTCCTCATCTCGGCCGATTCGGGTCCGGCCGAGCCCCCGAGAATACTGATCGCTGCGCTGGATGCAAATGAGGGAAACTTTCCTCAAGGTCGAAAAAAGATTCATGCGGAGCAAATTAAGTCAGATGACTCCTCGCCCGTTGTGGCTTTTTAAATTGCACTGGGCCTGGCAGAAATGTGATACATCTTCTGGCTGGTAATGAGAGTATTATTTCAGAAAAATACATCTTTCATTACTTTTCTCCCTCCCTATTCGATTTACACCTCCTGTGCTTAAGATTGGGCATAGGGCGAGGGGACGTTGTCAATTATAAGATGCAGATAAGTGCTTCGAGCAGCCACGGTATTCATAGGATGTAATGTACCAAGATGTATGAAACTGATCAAATGCTCTCATACACCGCAAATGGAGAAATTTAAACAAAGGAACACAATGAAACACAGCACAAATATAATTTAAAATATAGTCTTACTCTTCTCTCAGAAATTCAGTGAACCGAGTCGCAAAAAATTCAACATATCCCAGGAATACAAACGACCTTCCTCAGCCCAGAAAGGTATTGGCTTTTCTGAAGTTATACTCATGATTCACCTCATTATCGACTGAACAACATTTACAGTGATGACTGAGAATACAGATGCTGAGTCATTGCAATTTGAATGGGTTTGGTCTTTCTGTCCGTCATGTATTCTGTGGCTGTAGTTTTCATCCCTACCAGTTGTGCTAACATTTTCCAGCTGCACTCGTTGCAAGTTTATTTTTTATTTTTTTTTCCAGCCCACAATTGAAGTGCTCTAGTTCAGTGCAGCAGGCTGCAACAAAAAAACTCTGATAAAGCAACTGTACGCGACTTAACAGCCCACTGACAAAGTTAGCAACTAGCTGGTGTAGCATTTAGCTGCTAAAGAGACACAATCTGTGATCAGTTTCGGGGAGGAACTTTTTTTCTTTCAACCATAGTTCCTCCATGAAACTGCACACAACAAGGTCTGTGGATTATCTTGAGTAACCGGGTCTCTAGAAAGAGACGTTGCTGTTAAGTTTTTCAGATGTCTTTTTTTGGCGCTTTAAGCACCACAAGCAGAGTGCCATCTCATCCCATTATATTGGAGAGGAGGCAAACATCTCTACGGCCGATATCTTGAAAATCAGGCAACTCTCACCATAACAATCTAGATTGATAAATAGCATTACAGGTAAGAGGAAAAATATATATTTTAGGTTTTGGGGGGAAATGCCCCTTTTTAAATACTCATTCATAAATTTGATCATCACATCTGGTTCCGTGAGTACAATCTGTCAAAGTTGAATCAGGTGGCTGTGCAAAACCCAACCCACATTTAATTTGGGCAGTTTGGCTAATAATATTACTTTTTATTAAGTAATTTAGATAATATAGTTAAAGTGGGGATTCGGTCACAATCTAATTAACCTCATTTAAGACCTTTTCTGCCGGCACTCTGTGACTAAAAGATCTGCCTGAATATAAACATAACCTGCTACAGAAATGAGAGAGTGCTTTGTCATGTGTTCTTTTTTTGGCTTGTATGAATGACTGGAGAATAGACTGTTGATTGATGCACCTAAAGGTTTTTTTCCCAATATAGAAAAAGCATGTTAAAAAACATACTGAATAGAAACTGACAGTCTTGTATGAAAGTCTGTCAGTCACTTCGCTTAATTTAATTTGGCACGAGGCGATGGGAGTGCCGTGCTTAAAAATTGAAACCGCTTAGTTGCTTCTATAAATAGAAGCGGGGCTCCCGCTGGCGTGCAGCACTAACCAGATTAAATCATTATGCACTCACTTTCAGTTATCCTGCCTACTGTAAACATCCGACATGTGTGGGTTGATCTCATCGTTTCCCTTTGCTCCAGGTCCCATCAGCAGCATACTGGTCAACACATACGGCTGCAGGCCCATCGTCATGATGGGGGGCTGTCTCTCGGCCACTGGCATGATCCTAGCTTCCTTCTGTACCAGCGTGGTGCAGCTTTACCTCTGCATAGGAGTTATTGGTGGTAAGTTCATCTAAGTCCATTTGATGAGCCGCTACTTCTAAGTAGCAGGTTAAAAATAAAAGTGTTGTTGCAGGAGCAGGACTATCTGTTCTGGTTCTTGCCTTAATTGTATTATACTGGTTTAACATGATTATAAATGCTACTTAAAACTTAGTCTTAGTACAGGTTGACAAATAGCAGGCTACAAAGCTGAAATGTTTCCTTCCCTAATTAGGCTTCATCAAATCTTTTAGCCATATTTCACATATTTACTGTAGATACAGCACAACTATTATTCCACAGCCCATTTAAATCCAAATGAAATGACTAATCTACCATCTAATGATCAATACTCACATGTAGAGAGCAAACTGTGCCATGTTCTGCACCAAGGCTTTTAAATGGGGCAATTCATTCAATACTAATAATATTAAAAAGAATATTACTTAAAGAAGCCTTTATGGCATTTCATTTGGAAGAGGGAATGTGTGGAAAAAGGCAAAGCCTTTGGCTGACGCCGATTATATCATTGGGAAATCTTTAACATCAATAGAAAAAATACTTTTTTAGATTTACTCCAAATTATTGTTGGAACGACTCTTTGCGTTACAAATTCTAAATCTTATCCAGCCATCTTTGTATTAGTGAGATTGTCTCTCTGGTTTAACATTATGTGACGCTGCATTGAGGAATGGTGGTGCTTTGAGCTAAATGCTAACACTAGCATGGCAGCATGCTCACAATGACCATGCTAGCATGCAGATGTTTAGCAGGTATTATGTTTACCTTTTTCAGCATCGGAATTTAGCATTTAACGATTTCTAATTAGCGTTAACCTCAAAATACAACTGAGGCTGATGGGAACCTCATTAGTTTTGTAGGCACTTATTATAAATCACAGTGTTGGACAATCCTTAGAGCCGTGGTGCTAGCATGGCTAATCACCCATTGTTGCTAGCTAGTTCTTAAAGCAAGTACGTCAGAGGTAAACAGTTACTTGGTTTCTTTTATAGGTCAATAGGAAGTAAAATAGATAATTTTTAGTGTTCTTTAGCATTGGTACATTAACAGTTGCCACATAATTGTTACTTAACTAAGTCTATCATCTCTGCTCATAGGACTTGGACTAGCCTTCAACCTGCAGCCAGCACTGACTATGATAGGCAGATACTTCTGTAAGAAGCGTCCCATTGCTAACGGGATGGCGATGGCCGGCAGTCCGGTGTTCCTCAGCACCCTGGCTCCTCTCAACCAGTACCTCTTCAACCAGTTCGGCTGGAGAGGCAGCTTCCTCATCCTGGGTGGCCTGCTATTGAACTGCTGTGTGGCCGGGTCCCTCATGAGGCCTCTGGGGCCACCGCCCGGCAAGCTCAAGAAGGACGAAGAGGTAGCCGCCATTGCCACCACGACAAAGGAGAAGCACACTGCCTGGCAAATATTCAACAAGTACCTGGACTTGTCCCTCTTCAAGCATCGCGGCTTCCTCATTTACCTGTCGGGCAACGTCATCATGTTCCTGGGCTTCTTTGCACCGATTGTCTTCCTTGCAGCCTTCGCTAAAGACATGGGTGTGGATGAGTACTCGGCGGCCTTCCTGCTCTCAATTCTGGCTTTTGTTGACATGTTTGCCAGGCCCTCAATGGGGCTACTGGCCAACTCGCGCTGGGTCCGGCCCAAGATCCAGTACTTCTTCAGCTTCGCTGTGCTGTACAATGGAGTGTGCCACATCTTTTGCCCACTGGTGGAAAGCTACACCGGTCTGGTGGTGTATGTGATGTTCTTCGGCTTTGCTTTTGGCATGGTCAGCTCAGTGCTGTTCGAAACGCTGATGGACCTTGTTGGGCCTCAGAAGTTCTCCAGTGCTGTGGGACTCACCACCATTGTGGAGTGCTGCCCGGTCCTCATTGGTCCACCTCTAGCAGGTACGATCAGTCTGTCTGAGAGCATATTTCATTCCATTACATGCACGGTTTTTACTGCCTGTTCTTAGCTCTTCTGGTTATTAGAGTTGGTTCACAATATTAATAAGGCCCAGTCACACCAGAAAGGGACCGTGTTTTAAGAAGCTTGGTTGTGACTATTCGCAGTAGCTTGTTGGCAAACTACCATCAGCCTGTGAGCTAACTGCTAATATACGCATGCTCATCAAGTCACAAAAGCTCAATAAGATAGCTTGGTTGCTAATGGGACAATATGTTGAAACAATACCAGTGACTTTTGTTTCTTCTAAACTCTGCCGTAGGAGAGTTTATACTCTTGAGAGAGGGGGGGGTTCAGAAAATAAGATGAGATAGCTTCTCTTTTGCTGGGCGCTATAACTCTCTGCTCCCTAGAAGGCCAGCATTGTCAAGATCGTATGTCGAAGTTCATCAAAATTCACTCAAAATACTTGCATGGATTTACTTCTTTGCAAGCAAATTGCGAACTTGGCCATTCCATTAAAACAACATTTTTAAATGCAATTATGACCAGGCCTTTATTTAAATGGGTAGATATAATAATAGTTGACATTTAGCCATGTTTTTCATAAATTACATCTCAGTTCTATGTGGTAATACTTAAGATTTTATAACTGTGCAGATACTTCAGCATCTTAAAACCTTGTGTTGTCTTGCAGGGAAACTGGTTGATGTCACAAAAAACTACAAGGCTATGTATTTTTGCTGTGGCGCTGTCGTGATTTTGGCCAGTATTTGGCTCTTCATCGGGAACTTCATTAACTACAGACTCTTGGAGCGCGAGCGCAAGTGTGCAGAGATGTACAAACGGACTGAGACGGAAGATCCGGACAAAGTTCTGGATCAGAAGGAGGCTGACGGGGAAGCCCAGCCGTCGGATGAGCTGGTCGGCAAAAGTGAAAAGGACGGTGAACCTATGCAGCGGGAAACCAACATCTAGATCCCTCTGCTCCGCCAACAGCTCACCCTCACCTCCGTCCACTACGATCAAACGACTCCAAGCCAAGAGGTGCCTCTCGGTGGTCCACCATGCTCTATTCGGGGTCCTCTGCACTTCCATGAAACTAACTGCCAAAGCAACAACTGGAGGAGGCCGTGAGGCTCGATATCCGTTTGTCAAAGAGCATCAGCGACTATAACAGAAATGTTTAACCACAGAGAAACGTGTAAGATACTGCATGCATATGAGACAAAAAGTCTGAAAACTGAGTGGAAAACAGTGTATTACTAACTGTATAATGTTTTTTGCCACGTTCACCTCATATCGGATTTACTGTAAATACAAGACAGCAACAGGCGGGAAAGTACATTCACATCAGGCACCTAGTGGCAGTAACTTTCTGTAGGAACTCCAAAACTGATAGTTAACATGGCAGCAAAACCATGGATGTTGCAGATGCAGATAACTAAACAATGAGTTCAATTCAGTCAGACAATCCACTCTGCTAAAAAAAAAAAAAAAAGTTATCTTTTGCAGTTTGTTTATGGCTAATTTTAGTTATTGCCATATGTCCCGAGAAGTTCAATATTCCAATCCGTAGCAACAAGAGTCATTCCTCTCTTCCTGCTGTATCTTCCGATATGACGTGAATGCAGCATCAGCGTGTCGCCACTGTTCCAACAGCACCAGCAAACTGAATTCATGCTCAAACTGCAGTCTGAATAGTCTTCTATCCTTCACAACACACTGAACTCTTGGTACTCGAGGGAAGGTTAAAGGTGAAAAGTCAACGGTTCGTGCATTCCTAACGCTGCATTCACACCACGAGCAACTTGATTTATGAGCATTTTCTTTTGGCAAATTGTGGACAGTCGGAGGTTCTGAATGTCCAGTAGTCTTTCACATCAAAGTTGCTGCTTTAAAAGATGGGAATCGAATGTTCCGATTTCAGGCTAATGTCCATTAAATCATATCAACGTGGAACAAAATAGGAGCGAAAATCTGCCTTGATGGTGTCAGCTGTCGAGCCTAAAAAGTTTAGCTGATCTTCCTCGGTTGGTCAGCTCTGTGAAAAACTCCTGATGACTTGTTGATTGTGTTGCACGCGGTGTGAATGCAGCGTTCAGCAATCCCAGTGCACCCGGAAATGGTCGATCCATCTGGTTGATATGTGTCAAGCAAGAGCTCAAAATCCTAATTGCACTGTGTATTTTAAAACGGCATTCGGGTGCCATAAAATTCCCACTTCCAAAAATAATGAACAGATGTGTTCACAGCTGGCGACGCTGGTTGCCCCGCGCATTATGCTGCCCGCCTTCGCACTGTTACGTGGTGTCGTAAAAACCTGCGCAAATGTCCCACTTTAATACTTTCGATCAAGTCATAAAACGCTTCCTGTACGTCGTCGAGCGTTCCGTTGTGCACTCGTATAAAGTTTGCTGAAAGAGAAATGGCCCCAAACAGCATTTCAGAAAAATGCTGCGATTAAACGAGTTTAATTATGGTTGAATGTAATTTCCTCTGTGGGCCTTAACAAGGTATTAATGACCAAAAACCATCTGCATAATAGTGGCATTTCTACACACAGAGCCCATGAGCAATATCATTTCTCATATTTTAATGCAGGTATCCAGGGAAATGTGTTTGTTGTGGACAGCGCGACACTCCGTTCTACGATACATTGCCTTAACTGTAATGTAAAGAATGCTGGGGGAGTTGTACGGTGAACTGTATTATACCAAGCTGATCAACCTCTGTGTTAAATGTGACCCACTTTCTCTGCGGTGACCAGTGTCGTGTGCTCCGTTTGTCTCCTGACATATCTGTGTAAATCTTAGAGTTATGAGATTCCTTAATGTTGTTCTGTAACTAACTCACTAACATCCACACCAGTATGTTGATATGTTTGAAGGAGTACTACTGATGCTACTAATCACCCAATGCTAATGAGGTATACCAGTGTTTTGAATCGTATTGTGTGCAAACGAGTGAACATATCCACGAAGCAATTGAACCGAGTGTCGATGTTGTCCAATATTCTATCCATTCCAGATGTTTCCTAAATGTCGCCGGGCCGTTGATGGGTTTTCGGCAAAAAAAAACCTGCGGCTTTGGTTTCAAATGACCTCATAGTGTCCTGTCTCCGCTGTCCCATAACAAAGCCAACACATTTTAATATCAAATGTAATTTTTCAAAGCTATCATGAACAACAAAACAATGTAATTGTCCCTTCCCCCCCCCCCGCACTTTGAATATATGAATGTGTATTCTGTATAATGCAAATGGGTGTCCAGCTGTGTAGCAGTGGCTCTCCACCGTGTGTGTGTCCTCACCTGGTTCATTACAACCAGACGCTTTGTTACTGTGAAACCCCCTCTGGTTCATGGTGGTGTTTGGCTGGATGGATTCTGAGGGCGGGGACATTGTTGAGAATATCTGCCATGACATTTAGTGTAAATACGATAATTTCTGAAGGATTTGCACACATGTTCTTCATGTTTCCGTTTGGAGATGATCTCCAGCTAAATGCTGTCAGGTCAGCTGCTCAGATTTATTCTCCCATAATGCACCAGTATCTCATGCCGATATTAGACAGTATTTTTGTATTGCCGTGTCTGTACCTTTCCTTATAGCTTTAGTAAATGACTAACATTGAAACCTTTATGAATGTTAACTTATCCTGCTTGCACTTCGCTAGTGGAAAGAGATGCGACTGAAATCAGATGTCACTATGCTCATTGTTCACGATGCCTCTCAGTGAGGGAGATAGACTGCTGTACAGTCACTTTCTACCAAATAACACTGCCCCCTGCTGGTTCCAAGACACCTAGACCAAACGACACAGGAAGCCAAGCTTCCCTTCCAACAGAACACACTCCTGTTTATAAATCAGCTGTAATGATGATCAAACAAGGTTTTAGTTTTATGGGGGATGTAAGTGCATCAGTACCTTTTTTACTTTTTTTTTGTGGAGGGGGGGTATTGTCTATATGAATACACTTTTTGGTATTTATTTGCTCAACAAAACACAACCTTGTAATGGTTTAATGAAACTAAGGAGAATACCATCGACTTTCATCATTGTATTTTCCCCCGTCCATGTAGACTATGAATTATACTCCATGTTGTTTTTCTTCTTCTCTATAATCAGTAATGCAAACGGCAACATCTGCACAGCAGCAGTTCCCACGAAGATACCACAATGGGAAGGAATTCCAAAAGATGATCAGCGACACAAAATTGTGTTTATTTTTCTACAATTGCTGTTTTCCTGTGAACTACTTGACTGTTAAATCCCTGGATACGACTACATCTGTGAGAAGGGCTCACATGTTGGGTTGGGAGCTGCTGCTTCACAGGTCCCTGACGTGGTTCTCTGCTAATAGGGAGGCTGGTCACCACATACAGAAATGTGATGGTATTCTCCTTACTGTACTTGATATTTGTTCAAACTTGAGAAATTCATGTCTGTGTTTTGGTTCATAACATTTATTCTAAGGACAAAAGGAAAATTGTAATAATTGAATCCAAATGGAGGTAATTGATTTGTTTGACATGCACCGAGAGCCTTATGAATTATATTGCAGAGCATCTCGTATATATTTTTTCATGTATATTTAAAAACAGAGGTTTATCTTGAGGTTCAATTGAAATTAATAGGAAATACTTTCACCCCTCTTGGATATTGTTTGAAGAAGATATTGAAGTGTTCTCTTTAGGAAATGCTCTGGCTGAAAACTGTTTTATTAACTGCTATAGTTAGATTTTCTCCTGATGTGTGGAAGCAATACATGTAAAGGCTTTAAAGTCTGGAAGAGATGACCCTTTAGTTTCCTGTTGGATTCCATGCAGTTGTCAGCTATCAGTGTGTATCTGGTAGGAATGAGCTTCAAACATTCATATGTAGGCAGAAATGCTGTCATTACAGGGCAGAAGGATAGTCGTGGAGCGAAGCGCTCTGGAATAAGTGTGACGTCTTGCCACGAGGACATTTATTTTAATTATGTGTTCTGAATTTCTTCTTTTTTTTTTTCTTAATCTGTATTATGTGATGAAACTGAATGGTTTTTATTGAGATCACAATTTCATTTCTGACTATAAAAATCAGGAATTTTCCAATTCATACGTCCATTTTGGAAAAAGCAGATTTTTTAATAAGCTAATCTCTGCCCCCCTGAGCCAATGGGATCATTTCTGCCTCCATTAATACGTCTTTTATTGCCGGACAAAATTCCAATCTGCAGGAGGAAGTCTTGCAAAGACCAGCAGGTGTTATTGGTGTTGATTGTATACATGGCGGTTTGCTACTGGGAGGCTGAAGGACTGTTGATAACATCTCTGTGCCTTATTGTGCTACACTGGCCATTGTAAACAGCTTTTTTTGTGAACACGGTAAAAAAATGGTCTTGTGTCGCTCTAACTGTGACAGTTAGGTTCAAGTCTGTCCTTTCTTGTTACTGATTGTGTTTACAGTCTTTCAGTTTATGTAAATAAACTCATGTAGCTACTCATCCAAAATTCACCCATTTAAGCACACGTGAACACCAGGTATCGTCTAAATATGTCTAAATTATTTTATTCGCTATTTATATATATTTATATATATATATTTATATATATTTATATATATTTATATATATATATTTATATATATTTATATATATATATTTATATATATTTATATATATATATTTATATATATTTATATATATATATTTATATATATTTATATATATATAT